AATGCAACAGTAGTCTTTAAAGTCCTTATGTCCTTGAGCTTATGGCATAGTTGGCATATTGAAGAGAGAGAGGAAAGTGCTTCTTTCAAGAAAATTACCATATAAGGAAATTTTCAAGAAATCAGTGGTGAACGGGTGAGAGTTTTTTTTCCATTTTTCACTTTTCGTATTTTATTTATTTATTTATTTATTATATAATGCTATCGCTATATACAATACCCAAGTATTAATTATTTTACTTAATAAAGAAAAATATTAAAAAAATCAGGAATACTATTGCTGTTTAAAGAAATATTATGATATTACTTAATTAGATGTGGATAGAGGGAGAAACGGAACGCGATGTCAGTCACGTAATTGATTGTCGCGACAATGGTGGGTCGGCTTTGACAATTAGGTAATAAAGTAAAGATGGGAAGAATTGTGAAAAAGAATTATGTAATCTAATATTAGTCATGTAATTGTATTAGCGTCTATTATTCTATGTCTAAGCCGCCATAGCCAAATGTAAAGGAAGAGAAATATATATGGCATGTAAAATGTAAAAGTGAGAACCTTTCGTTTTACTTACCTGATAATGGTTACACCGTTACATTTTTGTGGTGACTGTGAAATTCAACGTACCATTATCCCCCCAATATTTTCACGCGAACATCTTTTGCGATACTTTTTATATCCCCTATTATAAAAAACACAACCATTCGTTAGAACCTTTTGCATTTTACCACCTGACTTCATAACTTTTACTTTCTTTTTACTTACCCTATTCTTTTAGATATCTACGCGGCAGCTCGAAAAGGAGAACGACCCAACCTAACAAAGGCGCAGTAAGAGAAACTGATGGCTAAAGACTTAAATACCCGAAGTGGTTATAAACAAACCTACCTGTGTGACACCTGTGACAATCTTTAAATGGTGATGAATCCAAAGTTGGATGACGCAATTTTTGAACGATCCCGGCAAATAGACCAAGAAAACCTAAAAATAAGAACGCCAGAGAAAGACATCACGCAAGATGATACGGAGCCTGGCAGAATCAATGGAAGAAAGGATGAGTTAGATAATGACGAGATGAACCGGAGAGAAGACCACCTGATAATTGGAGAGATGGAACCTCGAACCAAGGGACGATGGCGACGAAAGATGAAAGAAGCTATGACGGCATACCTGAAGACCTTACCTGTAGAGACGCCAAGACCACGCGATCAGATAGGACCAAAAGGTCATCAGACAAAAAAGGAAGAAGAAGCGACGTCATCAACAGCTTATCACAAATCGCATCTCGACCTTTCGCGATCCTAATCATGAGGAGAAAACAGGATGTCAAAAGAACACGCGTACGAATGACACCTGCAACGAAAAGAGTAGAAGAGATCCGAACTTCGAAGTGGCAGCAACAAAAGGCACGAAAAAGCGATCACGAAACCGAAGCAGCGAACCTGTGGAACATGGGCTCCCAAGCTAAAATCAGAACAATCACAACCATACGTCATGGGCCGCATCGGAACTCACCATGATCTAGTCAGTGAAAGGACGCTACAAAAAGTTTGGAGTGATAGCATTGCACCGATAATGCAAACGATAGTTATGCCACATCACACCATGAAATTTACATGTCTACCGAGCCGAGTAACAAGACACAAACGGAGAGAAAAGACGATCGACGACCCAACGATTCATCAACCACTAACGAGACATTACGATGGATACACTTAATGAAAATCTTAATGCGGGGTACGCATAGGGAATGTAACAGGGAGAAATGGAACGCGATGTCAGTCACATGATCGATTGTCGCGACGATGTGGGTCGGCTTTGACAATTAGGTAATAAAGGAAGAACAGGAAGAATTGGGAAAAAGAATTATGTAATCTAGTGTTAGTCATATAATTATATTAGCGCCTATTATTCTATGTCTAAGCCACCATAGCCAGATGTAAAGAAAGAGAAGTATATATGGCATGTAAAATGTAAGAGTGAGAAAAGAAGAGAATAAAATTAATAGACTTGGTCAAATAAAACATGCCTCAAATCACCCTTTTGTTTTACTTACCTGACAACGGTTACGCGAATCTCTGCTAGAGTTAGCGACTGACTCGCCATTACACCATTACAATAAATATAATCTTATCGTTATTATTTAATTTCCTTACTATCGGATAAAAAATTATGTGGCACGTGATTTTCTGTACTATTAAAAAATTATCAGGTGAGGGTGGGTGAGTATAATCTTATAATAAATAAAAATCACCTGATTTCTGTCAAGTCCCTTATGACAAATGCTTGAATAAGTAGACCATAATGTAAAATGCCATTTTTTTCTCTTAATTCAAGTTTCACTATAATCACTTAATGGACAAAGAAGCATATAAGTAATCAATTTGTTTTAATCCTTATAATTTAGTCAGAAAACTCCTTTATACTTAACTGGCAACCGACAATTTAGGCACAATAGTACAGTTGTGGTCTCTCAAGAATTCAGATTTGAATATAACATCCTAAGACATCCTAATACGATTTATAACGAGACCTTATCACCGGATGACATTCAACTTATATCAGGCAGCTCTGGTAAAACAATGCGACTATTTTCATATTATAATCAAGCAATATAAAAGGATATATAGAACAAATTTATTTAGTAGCCTTCTCTCCGGATGGAAAACAGTAAATAGCTTAGGTTTATATAACTACAATAATTTGAATAATTAGTAATTAAAAATTATCTCAAATAAAATACGTTACTTATATTATTTATAAGTGACATAAAAATTTTGATTATTTGATGTTAAAAAACTTATTCTCACATATTTAAAACTTTAGGACTACTTTATATTGGCTTTTTTCGAAAAGGGAACCGCGTATCAGAATTTCTTTATTAAATTAGCCGGGGCCCGGAAAAAATGTTGATCATAATTAAGATAAGATTTACTAAAATGTCGAACTTGATACTGTATCATTTGCTCATCAATCGACTTAACTAATTATGGAAATTTGCGTAATCTTTCTTTATACTGATGTTGATAGCCAAACTCAGATCTTACTCTATTATGCTACAGTAAGACAATCGATTTGACAACAATAAAATAGACTACATAAGGAATTCGAGATATACGTACTGTAATACTGTATTGATACTTGTTAAATTTTATCATAATTTAAGTCATTTAAATCAGTCGAAATGAGTGATTCGGAAACATTTTATGTCGGATATTGTTATCTCTATGGAATTGGAGTTGAAAAGGATGAACATAAG